GGGCCCAGGCTGGATTCGAACCCATCACCTTAGGTGTATGTGGCTGGCGCCTTAGCCACTTGAGCCACAGGCGTCAAGACATAAATATTAAAAAAAAAAAAAATAGCCAGGCATAGTGGTACACGCCTGTGGTCCCAGCTACTCAAGAGATTGAAGCAGGAGGATTGCTTGAGTTCAAGGTTACAGTGAGCTATGATCATGCCTCTATACTCTAGCCAGGATAAAAGATTGAGACCTTGTCTCTTAAAAAAAAATACAGATTAAAAAAATAAATTCAGTGAGTCAAACTTAAAACATATGAACCACATTAAAGACCTTCTAAGCTCTTGCCTTTTTAGTTTGGTTTTCAGGCACATCTACTTGATTTATAACTATAAATCACTTTGGTTGTAATTTTTCCTTTAGAATCGAAAAATATAAATTATATTGAATCAATTATATGAATCTTAATTCAGTACATGTAATTTAGCACTACTAAACTTTATGTATATGACAAACCAGTTAAGAATATTCTCAGTGTGAGATTAATAAACTACCATTAAAAGACTATGGCAAATGCTACAACCTGTTCAGTACCTATGTCCTCCTTCCTTCCTAATACAGCCCCAAATTACATTTGTTTATCCAAGAAAGGAAAAAAAAATCAGTGACCTAGGGGCACTTACAATACCATTGTGGTCAAGAAATATTAGCAGATAGGAGGGATTTTGGGAAAATTATTATTTTCCAAATAGAAAGTGACCCAATTGGCACATTTATTTTGCCCATTGCCTTTTCCCCTTCTTTCTGCCTGGAAGCCAAGTCTTTTGACCATGAGATGTAAGTCACATGCCAAGGCAGGCAGGAAGAACAAGTAAATATCTCAGTTGTTTGTACCACTATTTCATGGGCTTGTTTGTTACTATTGGTGGCAATAATGGCTAATACAAATTCTGTATTTAGAAATGAGAATAAATAATTGCAAATGTGAGCACTGTTGGATAATCACCTTAACAAGTTTCTGCACGTCACTTTTTACAAGGGCTCTGTCCATGTTAAAGCCATTACCTGGATCCAGAACAACAACTTTTACCTGAGAGTAGGAAAAAAGTCCATTTAGTAATTTTATTTCATATTATTATGAAATTAGTTTAATATGTTTCCTTTTTTTTTTTTT